CCCCGACCGCCGCCTGGCGGGCCCCGGCCGCCACCCCACCCCGCCCCCGGCCGACGGGCCGCCTGCCCCTGCCGCCGCCGCGACCCGCCGCCGCTGTCCTCCCCGCGCGGGACAGGCGGCCGCCCTCGGCCACAGCCCGCGGCCCCCCGCCCGGGCGCGGATAACGGTGCCACTTCACCCCGCCGGGGCGCCCTGTCAGTCCTTCCGTCCCCCGCCGCGCCGAGAGCTGGCGCCGTCCTGGGGCGGACACTTCGGGGATCGACCCTCTTGGGAGCCCCTCGGTCCTTCCCCCCACCTCCACCCAAGTTCTGACCCTGGGGGAGGTTTCTTCGGGAGCAGACAGGTATTCCTGCCCCAGAGTTGGGGGTCTTCAGGGGGTGACCAGGCCTGTTGATCAGGGTGGGAAATGATCTCTCTGCAGGGGCTCTTCCTGCCAACCTGGGTGTGTGTGTGTGTTGGGGGGGGGGAGGCTCAATGTGACCCGAGGGAGGACAGGGGAGCGTCTGCTGGACAGATGGCCTCCTGGCCTTGGATCAGCGTCTGTGAGGGGGAGGGGTCCATACGACCTTAGGTATGCCTGTTCCTGAGAACCCCAGGATTATGGGAGCTGCTCAGAGGTTTTTAACTTTCTGTTTCTTTGAGTAGGCCAGAGGGGGCATTAAAAGTCCTGGACTGGAATAAATCCACAGGCCCACCCAGGGAAGCACGTCTGGCACCCAGGACTAGCCTAGAATAGGACTGGCAGTAGGAGAATGGGACTTGGGGGTCAGATGGTATTTGGCCTAGGGTTGGCCCACCTGCCTTCAGTTCTCTGTTCATACAGGGCCTCTAGGGTGCATCTGTTGGTGTGTACAGTGTGGCTGAGCATACAGGATGTGGACAGACAGATGCCTGGCCTGGTGGGTGCTTGCTGGGATTTCATGGGTCTGTTTCCTCAAACTCACAGGTACATTGCACAGTGAAAGAGAGGGGAAGCGCGGTGCCAGCACACGTATTTTGACCATTGTCCCAATGGTCATGGCTTTGATTCACTCAGTAAATTTTTACTGAGCACTTACTATGTGCTGGGCACTGGACTAGGTGTTGGGAGGATGGTGGTAAACCAGAGAGAGACGTTTTGGCTTGAGCTCGTAGCCTAGTGGGAAAGCCCAATAATAAATAATCTGGAAATTTCGTTCCACACCAAATATTTGTCAACAAATATGTGCCAGGCATTGTTTTAGATGCTGTGAAGAAAGCAAGCAAAAATAACTGCCCTTGTGGAGCTTTCAGTCTGGTGTGTGTGTGTGTGTGTGTGTGTGTGTGTGTGTGTGTGTGTAAGAGTAAAATAAAGTACATAGTGAAAAATGCTGCCTCTTAAAAGGGGCTAAATGCTAGGGAGAAAAAAAAGAGAGGGAAGGAGGATATGAGATATTGGGTGGGGGTTGAATTTATATTCAAGTGACCTGGGAAGGCCTTCTTAGAAGGTGTCTTTTGAATAAAACTTTGAAGGAAGTGGTAATCATTTCAAACTGTACTGAGTTCAAGTAAGGAAAGATGAGCAGAATGCTGAGAGTGATTGGCCTTGATTTGATTTGGGGGCTTCGGGAAGGCTTCCCTGAGGAAGTGACGTCTGGGCTAAGACCCGAAGGAGGGTTAAGAGTTAACCATGTGTGGAGCAGCACGGAGCTTGGCAAGTTGGAGGAAGTGAAAGAGGCCTGTGTGGCTGGAGGGAGAAGGGGAGAGGGCAGATAAGTCTGTAGAGAGGTGAGTTAGATCACAGGGGGCCTTGGGGACAGAGTGCCTCCCTCCCCCACCCCTCCCTCAACTTTGGTTTGTATCCCTAGTGAAATTAGGAACCTTTGAAGGGTTTCAAGTGATTGACATGATGACATTTACATTTTAAAAGGTCTCTGGCCTCTGTTTGGGGAATGGACTTTGAGATAAGCAGGTAAGGTGAGGCTTTCTGTGTTGAGTGGCCTAACTACTTCATCTGCTTCGAAAAGCCTCAGAGCAGTCTGAGGGAGATCCTTTTCCTCAGTCTGTTTTGTGCAGCTTTTAGAAAGGGAAAGAAAGACAAATTAGCATTTATGGAGAGTACCTGCTAGCTGGGAGAATCAATTGGAGAGACTTCTGCAAACATCATATTTAACTTCATCCTCTCAAGAGAAAGGGCTTGTCCTGCCCCTTTTACAGATACAAGCCCAGAGGGGATAGATGACTTACCAAAACCACATTTGTAACCTAATCTGGATTCAAACCCAGGCCTCCCCGATCCCAGAGTCCACTGGCTTTCAAACCAAACTACTGGAGTTTGCATCTTGCTTCTGCCACTTGCTAACAGAATGATTTTGAGTTTAATTTCTTATGTGCCTCAGTTCCTATTTGGAATGGCCTCAAGCTTTTCCCAGCTTAAATGCAGATGGAAGTACCTATCTCATAGGGTTGGTAAATGCAGGTAAAAGTACGTACCTCATAGGGCTGTTGTGCATGCCAGATTAACCAAGCCACATAGATGTTGTAGCACTTACCTCACATGTTAGTTGCTATTATTACTTAAATTTTTAAAAACTTGTGATGTTGTAGCACTTACCTCAAATGTTGCTATTACTAAATTTTTAAAACTTTCATGCTGTCTCTTAGCTATGTTGTGGTCACGTCAGATGAGATTAAATATATAGATAATTTAATTCTTGGATTCCGTTGAGACTTTTTCCCTCCCTTTTTCTCTAAATAACTTAATGCCAGTGTTCCATGTGATCAGTCATTCAACATTGATCTCCCATTTCATTCTTGACACTGTGCTAGGACTTTTGGATACAAAGTGAGTTCCTTCCCTTCAGAACCTCAGGGTGTCCAGGGGAGGTCAGATAGTAAACAGATGAGCTACAATGTACTTAACAAGTTCTCTAATGCACCTGTAGTTAGAGAACTGTTGGGAGCAGTAGGAACTAAATGCCTGGGGGAAGTAGGGAAGACTTCAGGGCAGAAGTGACTTTTCAACTGGGCTTTGGAGGAAGAGTAGGAGTTTTACAGGCAAGCAGGACTAGGCAAAGGACAGTCCAGATAGAGCTGTGTGTGAAAGCATGGAACCATGAGAGGCTTGGTTGGTATGGGCAGGAGGCTGGAAAGCTGAGTTGGAGCTGTGAAAGGCAGGTCAAGTTTGGATTTTGATCTACAAGCCACAGAGAGTTTTAGATGAGTATTAGATACATCAGAGAGTATCAGATACATCAGATACATACCATGGTCGGTGTTGGAGTTAGAGAGTGGAGACAGATGTCATCCTGGGGGTGGCTTTATTTTGGCGGGATCACTATGTTTCAGGATCTGGTTCTCAGTTTCATAGTCCTAAAATTCAGTTTTGTAGGGCACTCGGAGCTTATTGGATCCAGGCAGACTGACTCACTAACCAAACTTGGAAGAGACTGATGCATAAACTCAGGGTATTAACTGGCCATGAGAAATGAAACTGCAGAATGACAGATGTTCTGTCCTCTGGCCATCCCCCCACCCCCACCCCTTCTGGCCAGGGCTGGGACATATTAACAAACTCTTACTCCTCAATTCCTGTTTGTTTTTCTCAGGCTCATGAAAACTCATCCTTTTTGTTAACATAATCTTTACTTAAGCTGCACAGAGTGTGGCCAACCATGATTATTAATTGATAGAATGCATGATTCTGTATGGTGTGGGTTGGATGTTTGTGAATCTTAAGGAAGAGGAAGAATAACATTTTTAGAAATAAAATACTGGAAAAGGGGGTTCCTCAGACTTGGTATCCAGATTGTAAGTGGTGTGGGTAGTCTTGTACCCAAAGGGTGGTTGTGGACAGATGTATTGGAAATTGTTGTGGGAACAGAGGTCTGTGAACCCATGGAGGGGCAGGGAGCTTTTGGTTCCACTGGAAGGAGAGATTGGTTTAGAATTTTCATCTTCCCTACACATTGGAGACAGAAAAGAAAGTAGTAACTCCTCCCCTCTACCCAGCCTGGTCATGGTGAGCTTTCCTACTGGATTGGAATCTTCATGGGGTTTGAGCTTGTCTTAACACTTCTTTCTGCTGCTGCAAAGCTGGGAAGAGTGGTGGATCTTCTAGAGGTTTAAATCTCTGTTTTTCTACCATGAAAAGTAAAATCCAGATAGACCAACCTAGCTTGTGGACTAATTATTTTTCTTTTAAAACTCTAAAAAGAATTACACCAGAATATTCATGTAGAAAATGTAGGGAGCACAGATAGGTATATAAAGAAAATACAACTAACTGGTAAATCCTCTAACCTAGAGCTACTGTTAACATTTTAATATTTAGTGTTTGTATTAGATCTTTATCTCCAGCTCTATCTTTATATGTAACTTTGTTTTAACTTTTTCTTTTCCTACAAAAATAGGAACATCCTGAATGGGAGAGAATTCTGAGTGTGGAGCAATTGCATGTACTCACAAGCTGCGTTCATTTCCATTTCTGGGCATCTGGTCCAGTGTTCTCCCCCTCCGTGTTCTAGGAGTGTAGGATTGTGATATCCATTAGCT